GGAAAAAAGCCTGAGATCACATTTTGCACAATGCAAAAATGCTTCATAAGGGAAGTAAAAAACGTTGCAGTAGGGCAGCATAAACATTTGCCGTTTGCAGTTACAATTGGAGGGCTTAATGATCGATCAAAATTTGATCAGAAGAAGGCCAGCCTTACAAGCTTCCACTGGATATAATCCATCAATCTCAGTATTTTGAGATTTACATCTTAAGTGGAAGATTACACGACTCCAGAAGATGAAACAAAAGAAAGCTTTCAAGGATAATCGGGGATTCGGATGGAAGCAATTCTCATTCAATGCTCTGGAACCATTAAACGATGTAAGCGGCAATAAACAATGGATGAAGGCACAATTGTCTGTCTGTTGTTGTTGGTTTCAGTAATAAATCTTGATGAGTCGTCGACGAGTCCAAGTGCTTAGGCTTGCAAACGGACTTGTCATCGGTCGTCACGAAATTGCCATTTGATTTAATCGGGCTTCTTGAATGCCTTTATAGTCACATCTTGTGCAATTAACAAACAACTGCAGCATAGAGCAATACGCAGTTAAATGACCCAAACAGCGAATCAGTGCCCGTTTGGGACGTATTTCCGTTCGTTTGCAAACGAACAACCAATCATCAAGCAACACCGATGATGTAAGAGAACCAAACGAGGGATGACATGATCACATTCGAATGAGGATTGAGGTTCGTTCGTGTTTAATAGATGAAATAAAACAAAACGAAACAAAATGAATTGAACGCAACCAACCCAACTCTGCTAAAATTAAACATATATGAATGAAAAGCAAACAGAAGAAAACCATTAGAAGTATTTCATATCCTCATGATACTCTTCCAGAGTTATAAGCACGGTACCAGTATACTTCCAGTTGAGTTGTGCTGATCAAACAAGGAGCAATTGCAACCATGCATATCATGGTAATCAAATTTGTAATTGATACTGTGAAACTTGAATCCGGTCACTTAGTATTACATTTCAAAGCTGTCAGTTCTGTTCCGCTGACTTTCGAATGAGTTCTGATAGTGGATGGTATGTTGGTGACAATCCTTAAGCATACAAGGTGGCCTAATGGTTCTTGGACTGGGAAATGATCTGGGAAAAATCCGCCATTTTTGGGAACCAGAAGTTGCGTGGCGAGATGACAGAGCTTTCCAGTGACTCTAAAAATTTCGTAAAATTTTTCCGAAACCAACTAAAAGCGTCATGTCATCGTGAAGTAGTGCCATCACTTGAAATCCCGTATTATCCTCACGATTTTTCCAGATTGTCGACAGCATATTTCATTTCTGCAAAAACTACCTTGGAAAGAGCCATGGAAAGCAATAACATTGGGGTTTAACATACAAGAAACATATTCCAACGGAGAACCTCGGACTAATGATGTGAGCGAATTTGTTTCAATCAACAAATTCGATTAATATTATCAGTAGTGTCACATGGGCATAGATTTTTTAAAATCTCGGTACTAAAAGGATTCATACAAATGCGAAGGTCGCTTATTGAAAATCAGATTTGGAGACTGCTGAATAAAGTTCTATATTTCATCAGTCAATATAGCATTTTCAATTGCATTTACATAATGGAAATTATCCCTAGGTACGTAAACTTGAATGCTCTATGTGGAATCGGACTTTTGGTGAATATTAATCACTAAGCAGCGAACATATGAAGCAACTTTCCCTATTACGGAGAATACGATCGGATGAGGAACCTTCGAATTTTCGATCCATGAAAGATAGCTTCAGTAGGAGGCACATCGACAACTGCGCGCAATCTACTTTGACGGTTCCTAATAATTGGCTACAAATTGAAGTTCGATGCTTATATAAGAACCAACTAACTAGTCGAATTCCCTTGAGTCTGGAACAGACAATTCGTTCCAGAATTTGAAAGCGAAAGAGCCATCACAGAGCTCATACCTTATTCATATATTCCCACGGATGAAATTATATCCTCAATCCAAAACTGAAAACATGTTATGCATGATGACACATGTCAGCTGTCAGCACATCCTTTCAATTTTATTATCAAATCTCTTTTTCAATCCAAATTATTCAAAGATCAGAATCAGATTTTCCCTCTTGTTTTTCAGTTTCTATCCTGACGTTTTGAGGTTCAGGAGAGAATTTATTAGCGATATAGTTGAGTGCGCGGTCAATACATCGGTCGCACTATAAAAACTCCAATGAATTTAAAAGTTGATATCTTAAAAATTGTTGACATTGGTATCGCCCAAAAGCAAAATCTGACCAGTTGAAGTGGATTTCATTCATTCTCCAGTTGAATAACCGTAATTTCGATTTCAGATAAGAACATGAATGATTTTCATCAAATACAAAAAACTAATTCGATTCATTCGGAGTTACATCTTCCTCACAATTCTTAGTCCGCATAAAAAGTCTAAATTAAGTCCAATCACTTAATTCGTTCGAAACGCTGTAAATGTGATCGAAAAATAGCGCCGTTAAACGACAGCGACTTCGTAAGTGACTTGATTGGATTCATCAAATTGGTATCACGGGAAAGTGCGTCGTATGTGACGGCGAGTAGAACCGCAGTGAAGACGAATCTAATTTCAGCGTTGATGTGAATCTTTAAAGTACTCAATAATATTTGGTCACCACCAGCAACGAACGACGAAGTTTATTGAATCAGGAGAACGGCGATTCAACTGGAACGCAGTTGAATGTTTGATGCTATTTCAAATTATATGGACACTTTAGAGGGATTTACCGAACGGAGCGATTCGATAAATGTTAACTCATTCCACCTATACCTTTCATATCCATCAATCTTTGCAGTGTAAAGTTTTTGCTGATTTTTTGCCAAGTGAAATTTCATCAATATTCCGGAAATGGTATTATGCATGGAAATTGAACTAACTTCGCAATGAGTAAACGTCCAATTCAGTGAACTGTACGCTCGGGTGCTCCATCACCCCTTTCGATCGCCTGGCAGGCCTTTATTAGTTCCCACCCCCTCCAGCTCCAATAATATACTATTTCCACGTCTATCGTGAAAACTAATTTTCCGACCCCTTCCATTACCCCTTCATATCATCAATTTACCCGAAATGGATAATTTCCCTCCTATGGGTACTTCCGGTATAATTCATGATAACGTGCTGATGAGCTGAGATATTATAGTATTCACAAATATTATGATGTAATTCATAACCTGTTGCACCGGATTATTAGAATATTCAGAAGTATCATAATGTAATTCATAACCTATTGCGCCAAGTATGTCTAGGCGATCGAGCGCAATAGTGAATGCATATCATTCTCATTCGACCAAATTTTCGTGTTTTTAATAACAAATCGATACTTTGAAGAGTATGTTCTGTTCTATGAAAGGTTTCATTTCTGTTCTTAAATCAGCAACGATCACTGTTTCGTCAATGATCCTTTTAACAGAAGTTATTGGACATGTTTTCTTCGTAAATTAGCGTATATGGTAAATGAACTCAATTATCTGGTAGAATAACGCAATAGGTTATTCGTAAATATGAAAGCGACATATTTATGCGTTCAGTACCAAGAATCAATTACTGAAATATGATGAGAGTAACTGAGAGCATGATCAGACAAATTTATCGACCAAATGGACCGTAAAACGTTGGGAAAGACAAGGATCAATTTTATTTGCAAATAAATAGTCATTTTATTTGCAAATAGTCATTTATTGTCATTTTATGTGCGGTCTATTTCTCAGATGGATCCATTAAAAGTCGTCATAAAATTGAACTTTCCTCGCACAGCAATTAAAAATATCTGCTAAGAATTTGTCAACACACAAATGATACGGCGAGTGAGGCATTTCTTACGGATGACGCAAATGATGCTTTTGCGAAATGATTTAGTAACGAGCAATAATGATCAGTTTACAACAATATCATGTGAGATCATCATTATGAAGATAAACCAGAAATGATTTTTGCTTTTCAGAGATCTGATCATTCGAGTAGAATGAATTCATACAGTTAGAGTACGGTTGAGTTCAAACATTCCAATTGAAACGGATTAGCTGCTTCAAAGAAAGCAGTAAAGTCGAAGGTGAGAAAACAGGAAATGCGCACTGATAAGAAAAACAGGTCGGATGAATACCTCACGATATTTTTCAGCGTTTAAGAGATAATTAGACTCGACCCTATAAAATGCACTGAATTTTATGATGAACATTCGTGAGATGTACTTTCTAGACATCAATTCTATGCCATACATGTCATATTTACGACAATTTTTTTTGGTGGTAATAAAGGATTATTTTTAGTGGATCTGTATAAATCACACCAGCCATTGAAAACGCGAATATTCAATGATTTATTTTTTCAAATGATCATCAACGTTTCAGCCTTTGAGATCATCATCAAGACGAGTCAAACTGCACATGAATGAGGAGGGGATGGAGCGTGGAACTTTGACCTGTAAATAGATGACTGGTGAAAATAACAACGTTTTTCCCAATGTTTCCAATGAACAAATCTTGTAAACAAAAATATCTCGATCGTTTCTAGTAAAGTAGATCATGATAAAATGTGACAAATTTCCGAATGCTACGAGGAAGTCAAAACTTGCCTAGATCTCATAACATTTTTATCCATTCGAAGCATTTTTCATTCGATCCGATAACGTTTTTATCAATTCTGCACTTTGCATTCGCATAACGTATTTGCATAATGCTATGGAAGTAAACGCAATAACCACCTAAATACATCTCAAAAGTACATGCTTTTACCGTCCGTATATGGTAAACCTGACTGATGATAACGTTGAAGGCCGAAACCTTACCTGACTTTAAAATAAGGTAATGAATCAATATTCGTACTTGCTAGTTATCGTGGCCAAGATAATACATCAAATAATAAATCAAATACCATCGTGCGCTTAGCACAACAATGGATCCACTACATGAACACTTCATATGTTATCAGCGCTCCACTTTCCGACTGATCGTAATTTTCAAGCTTTCGTAAGCCTTACTCATTCATATGATTTGTTACCTTTATAACTATCATTTGCTGTTCTCGTTATCATTACATGGTAAACCCGAATAATGATGACGTTGAAGGCCGAAACCTTACCTGACTTTAAAATAAGTTAATGAATCAATATTCGTACTTGCTAGTTATCGTGGCCAAGATAATACATCAAATAATAAATCAAATACCATCGTGCGCTTAGCACAACAATGGATCCACTACATGAACACTTCATATGTTATCAGCGCTCCACTTTCCGACTGATCGTAATTTTCAAGCTTTCGTAAGCCTTACTCATTCATATGATTTGTTACCTTTATAACTATCATTTGCTGTTCTCGTTATCATTGGTAGCATTATTTTAGTCATTACTCATTGGCGACGGTACCCGGTCAATCTGCCTAAAGACATTTAGCCTTACGACAGTTTGCCTAAAGACACATTGCCTGACGGACAATTTGCCTAACGGACAATTCGCCTAAGGAACAGCCTTCCTATTAGGCGAAAGATCCATTGAGAACCGTAAGTTAGACGAACTGCTCGTTAGGCAAAATGTCCGTTAAGCAAACTGTCCGTTAGGCAAACTGTCCGTTAGGCAATGTGTCTTTAGGCAAACTATTGTTAGGCTAAATGTCTTCAAGCAGACTGACCCATCACGATTGGCGACACCTATCTCAGTATCCACAAATCAACGATTACTTCGACTACCTGTTCCAGTTTACAGCCGTCATCTGACAGCAGACTCTTCATTCTCTTGATTGCAAGCAACCTTCAGTTCAATGGTACCTAAATTTTTCCATCTTCCTGCCTCTCATGGAAGCACACACTGCTTCGGAAGATGCAGTCACAGGATCAATTGAATTAAATAGCAATCAAAACTGTGTTGAACACGAATGTTGTCTCAAAACATTTATTGAATAAAAAATTCATGAAAGTGACAATAACAAAATCAACAAATTGCAAAACAACAAAACGAATGGCCGTTTTGAGTTGAAAATTGTATATCCTAAAAGATCAATGGAGCAATTATTGTTCAATGCGCAAAAGTTTCTAGAAATAGATTTATTTCCATTCCAAATTCCCTCTCACGTCCATCTCACTTCAGTATTGGTACTTGAAGACCATCAGCTAGCAACGCACAAATAAGTGCCGGCCCGTAGCCTGTGGCACGATCCGAGTCGCTCACCGGACTNTAGCAACGCACAAATAAGTGCCGGCCCGTAGCCTGTGGCACGATCCGAGTCGCTCACCGGACTTGCCATATCGATGTGTAACCAGTCGATATCGCTGGCAAAATCAATATGTGAAGCGATGAAGAGACCAGCTATTGCGCTCAACGGACCCTGGAACGATAATCTAGATACATTACCGCTCAATGATACCATAATGCAACTCAACTCAAAGCTACTGTAATGCTACAAAAGAGCTATCATTACTGCATCACCCTTCTGATTGATCATCATTTTCAAGCTTTCATAATTTTCACTCATTGATGTGATTTGTTATCTTTGCTGTCATTTGCTATCTTATTTACTTCAACCGTCTCAAAGAATTATAATTTATGTGACTCTGAACATATTGCTGCCTGATTTGATATTGCAAAAAAAAGCATACATGACTTGCTTTATTTTTTGAAGTGCACTACAAACAAAACGGTGCAACTTTTTCGGCTATTTGGCAAACGTCATGAAACATGACGAGAACAACTCATATATCCGTTATTCTGACTCAAACAGATGCTGAAAA